CAGAATTTTCAACAAATTAAGTATAAACATTAAATTTCACTTTACAGGAACTGTTTATGAAGGCTGTTTACATTGCATGCAAGGATGTGTCTCTAGGGATATATAAACAAAGTGATTAAACTGCTAAATGGCAGATAATTGAACAGTGAGTCTACAGGGGCATGACCTGCAACTATTTAATAATTAACCCTCACATTACACTGCCAGCACTCAGGTAGTGTCATTCACTTACAAAAAAGCATGCGAACAATAATTTGTGAATGTCTTCTGCCAGAAAGCGTTTGTTTCAGAATCTTAGTAATACTGATACTTTTTTATTATTATTTATAAAGCGCCAACATGTTCCGTAGCGCTGTTCAATGGGTGGACTAACACACGTATTTGTAACCAGACAAGTTGGACACACAGGAACAGTGAGATTGAGGGCCCTGCTCAATGAGTTTACATTCTAGAGGGAGTGGGGTATAGTGACACAAAAGGTAAGGGTACAGTAGAAAAGTAGGTTGCTAGGACAGTATTTATTGAGGGCATAGTGTTTTGATGACCATTTCAGGAGCCGAATCAGGGTGTGGGGAGGGAAAGCTGTTCACAGTTTAATTGATATGCTTTCCTAAAGAAATAAGGTTTCACATTGTGTGTGTGTGTTTTTTAAGGAGTTATGATTGGGTGAAAGTGGAACATTGCAGCACTAGAGAAGTCTTTAAGGTGAGCATCAGAGGTAGGAAAACTAATAGAGGTGAGACATAGGTCTGCGGCAGAGCGTAGGGGCCTAGATGGGACATATTTGTGTATTAGTGAGGATAGGTAGGTCGGAGCAGCATTGTGTAGAGCTTTATAAGCAAGAATCAGGATCTTAAATTGAGTCCTATATCTTACGAGAAGCCAGTATAGGTACTGACAGGGGGGGGGGAAGGTGTGGACGGACAAGAAGATGAGCCTCGCACTTTACAGGAAGCAAGTTAAACCCTGCAATGCAGGGACAGATTCATGCACACTGTTCATGACACTTCTACAACCAAGGTGATAGTGCTGTTTCTGACAACCTGCATTTTGACCTGCGGATAATATCTGCACCAGGGCGGTGTTATCTTTTCCCCCTCTATCAGGAACAAAGCCTACGTGCTTAGTGTGGGCTAGGCCTGGCACTACCCTCCGGAGATGTTGAACTAACACTTGTGTTATATTTGTTATTGCTGTACATGTATATTGTTAATGGGTTCCAATTTAAATGCTTTATATGTTCTTTCAATTTCAGGCTTAAGTGGAGCAATGGCAGGCATCAGTGTTCGCTCAAGTACTCCAGGCTCACCTACTCATGTAAGCAGCAGTTCGAACACTAGCCGTCGAAGAAATGGACTTCATGATGTGGATTTGAACACTTTCATATCAGAAGAAATGGCTCTCCATTTGGACAATGGTGGCACACGAAAGCGCACCTCGGCCCAATGCAGCGATGTCATTTCAGACTCACCAACTCATAAACGCAACAGAATGATCTAACATGCAAAAATAAATATAAAACTCCACCATGCTGCTTGAAAGACACTTGATCCTCAGCATTCTGATTTAAAGGAACTGTGATGGCCATCTTACCCTTTAACTGCTTATACAAGTGAATACAGTAATGATTGCCATAAAAATTTAGGTATTAATATAGTTGCCTTTTTTTAACTGTGGCGTTCATAAACTTGTACACAGCAGAAGAATGAATTAATGTAGTCATTGGCAATATTTTAGGTGAACATCTAACAATTCAATGCAAGTGGCCTTATTGTATTTGCAAAGGGAAGTGTTGATTTTTTTTTTTATTATACTTTTTTTTTCTTCTGCTATAGAGTACTTTATACAATACAGTACTCCACAATATTGCCAATATGAAATTGCCTAAAATGACATTGCATTCATGAAATATACTTTTATTGTTCACCGCACAGTGCATGTATTTTTCCATAGTCCTATTTATTTTTTTCCCCTTCCATCTTATAATGCAGAGAAGTGAATTAATGGTCATGCAAATAATTAACATCTGATCTATATTGGATTTACTGTGTTTTTGTCATTCTGATATGCAGTTCACAAACCCAAGTTATACATACATAAGCATTTTAAATTTGGCAGTTTAAGCATTTGTATGCACTTATTTACATGCTTGCTGTATCCTTGTGAAGTAATGTAAACTGTATACGCCACACTAAACTCTAAAATACAGAAATTTAACATTATGTAACCTTGTAAGAGGCTTTATTAGGTAGTAGATATTTATTTGCATTTGAATACCATATAAAATGTTTCTGATGGATTTTTTTTTTATGTACTCTGATATATTAACACATTATAGCTATAACAATGTGATTAATTCATTCCCATGTGGACTGCAACACAGTTTTGATATGGTTTAAAAGTCCTGTAAAACTGGCCTTTATACCAAATAGTTTTGTATATGTGGCATGACATATAACAAACATATTTTCTGTGGCTTCATCCTTTGCTCTAAACAGAAAAGACTGTAAGGTTTTGCACCAATGATAGATACATATTGGATATTGACATTTGATTATTCAATAGATCCTTAGAAAATGTTTCAAAATAACATTTTGCAAAAGTCTGAGTTAAGCATCTCAACCTTTTCAGATTTGCCCATTTTTTTAGACTTCTGCATAAATGCCACCACTTCTACTCTGTGCTTTAATGTAAGGCAGGATTGCGATGCTTCGATGCCTAAATCATTGTATGTCACTACCAGTAACAGGTTTGGAGAATCCTCTAGTAATATGGTGTGCATTGTAAGCAGACATTGAATTTATAATTGGGCATTTGAAAAATAAACAGTCTTTGTATAAAATGTCATCTGTAATAAGTTTTGTTTCTTAAATGTTAACTGGAAATTATGTGGAATCCTTTAGTTTTTAAAATGGATTCAGCCTCCTGAAGTGTGGTTTAATTTTTTTTATTTTTTTTTTGTCATTTGGCCTAACTGAAATTAATTTAAAAGTAAATAAAGGCAATACTATGAATATGGTGGTTGGGTACTTAGGTGCTGAATGGAGGCGGGGACGTGGTGAAAATATATTTTCTATATGTTGCGAAAGCAGCATGTAAATTATATTCTGTTTATAATTGTCAACCTTTTACTGTCATTTGGTAGCCCTTGGACACAATATAATAGAAAAAAATCCTGTGTGTAAAATGCATACAGTTGAAATGAACACTCTAAAGCAGTGCCCAAACCGTAATACATGCCAATTTTTTTCCCACAAAGTGCCAAAACGGCATTTAAACCTGAATACTGAGGTTTAAGTTTAGAAAAAACAACTCATACAGTTGTCCGAACTAATTAACATCTCTGTGTGTGTATTAAGCAGTTTGTGTGTGTGCTTGGCAGTCTGTCTATATGTGTACTTAGCAGTCTGTATTTAGCAGACTGCTGAGTACACAGTCTGCTGAATACACACACACTGCTAAATACACACACAGACAGACTGCTGAGTGTATACACACAGACAGACTGCTGAGTGTATACACACAGACAGACTGCTGAGTGTATACACACAGACAGACTGCTGTGTATACACACAGACAGACTGCTGAGTGTACACACACACACACAGACTGCTGAGTGTACACACACACACACAGACTGCTGAGTGTACACACA